GATCTTTGCGAGGTATGAAACGTTTAATCACTTCTGTAGGAAGTCTCCGATTTCTCATGTTAAGCCGTTCGCACTCTAAGGGGGGTCTTAAAACGGTCTTATTTTGGTATTTAGCCATTTCGTCAATAACATTAAGATTATACTTACATTTACATTGCAACCAAAATCTTTTGATAGGAGCCATGTCTGCCTTTCTTGTAGACATTGTGGACATTTTTCCTAGTTTTCTAGTGGGGTATGCTGTATTATAAAGTACAATGACGGCATTGTCGTCAAGCTTTGGGAGCGTTTCTTCAAACCATCATTCAAATGAACTCCCGTCCATTTCTTCATGGTAGTCGGTCGTTTTTTTGACTCAATGGCTATAAGGCAGTGGGCGCAAAGCCATCTTTGTCAATGTGACATATAACAAATCGTTTTCCTTTTCCTGGAAATAATTATTTCATATGGTATTAAAGAAAACTAATAATAATGCAAGCAGAGTATCTAACAGGTGTTGGTTCCAAATCTACCGGATATAGCTAAGTTTAGTGTAGCTAAGTTTTCAGCGTGGGCTCATAGATTCAGTCTACTTGACACAATTTTTACCACACAAATGACGAATTGGCTAGATACACGTACCTGACGGATTATTTAGGCCAGCGGTTAGTTAGTCCATCTAAGAAGGCTTGTCTGGCTCATTTAATTGTAGACTCAGCCCATACTTTAGGTTTTGTAGGTCCTGCATTTATCCAGGTTTCATCCAAGTAATAAATCTTCGTGCCCTGGTCGCGATATTTCTTTATTGATTTTAAATAATTTCTTCTTTATAAAATAATCTCTTGGCTGTCCATCAAAATACTATTTCTGCCCCGTTTTATACAGGATGTTCCATAATTATTGCGACAAAATGATAGGGGTTGTAGAGGGCATCAAAATGAACAATTTTGCCTTATAAACCCCTGTTCGGAAATATGCCGTTTGGGATGCAGCAAAAAAAAAGATCAGTTTCTTGAAACAGCTTACCTACAGTAATTGCTCAAAGTGTCCTCCACGTTGCTCAATACACAGCTGTGCACGATTGTTCAATGATCGGCGAACTCTGTGGCATACCCCCGGTTTGTCCTGAACATGTGCGGACGCGGCCATCACTCTTCCCAGTAGCTCTTGTTGGTTGGGAACAGTAGTTTCGTACACTAAAGCTTTCAGATGGCCCCAGAGAAAATAATCCAGAGGGGTCAGGTCGGGTGACCGCGCAGGCCAAGGCACAGGGCCACCTCGGCCGATCCACCTATTTGTCGTCCAAATACTGCCGCACTTGTAAAGAAAAGTGGGCTGGAGCGCCATCGTGTTGAAACCACGTGTTGGCTCTTATGTTCAGTGGCACATTTTCTAATAGTTCCGGTAGCACATGCTGTAAGAATCGACCATAAGCATGCCCATCCAAACGTGGTGGAAGCAAATATGGCCCGATGATATGCTCGTCCACAATGCCGCACCAGATGTTAATTGAAAACTATGTTGGTCTCTATGGATGGCTATGGCATGAGGGTTTTCTTCATCCCAAATGTGACTGTTACGGCTATTAAAATAACCTTCCTTTGTGAAACAGGACTCGTCAGTGAACAAAACGTAGCGACCAAAGTTTGGTTGCCTCAACTCCTGCTGCAGCCACCAACGACAAAAACGTCGACGCGGCAGATAGTTTTCTGGACCCATGGCTTGGGCTTTTAAAAGGTGGTATGGGTGTAGTTGCTGGTCATGGAGAACCCGCCAAGCAGTAGTTTGAGACGCTCCCATTTCATGTGCAATAGCACGCACGCTTGTACGCGGATTGGCCTCTAGTTTGACGCACCACTCAGATAAATTAAATGAATCGGTGTGGAGAATTTACGATAACAAAAATGTAAACACAGCAGGCTTTTTTTTACAAATCGGCGAGACCATGAAATGTGCTAGACGAACATTTTGCAGCTGTTGAATTTTTTGTTTCTCGTAAGGTAAAATTAGCGGTAGTGCTCAAACGGCATATTTACGAACAGGGGTTTATAAGGCAAAATTGCATATTTTTATGCCCTCTACAACCCCTATCATTTTGTCGCAATAATTATGGAACACCCTGTATAGTCAAAAAGAAGTTTTTTGAGTAGATAAACTATATAATGTGGTCATTTTGAAAGTAGGTGTGTCTTCATCACTATTAACCTCCTGTAATACTTTGTCTATGGTGGGAAGTTCCTGCCTTTGAAAAAATTGATGGACTTTGCGTCTGATGACATTCCGATCAAAGTTGTCAACTGTATCCAACAGCTTCGTATAATGCAGCCTCTGGTGTATTGGAGACAATTTTTAGTTTTTTTTTATATTCTTTAATAATGTTGAAAATTGTCTCAGGAAATAAGCGTAGACGACATGCTAAGGTACAGTACCGAGCACAAGTAGAGAAACAAACCACATTACAAATAAAAATCCAGAAAGATTTACTCTAACCCAAAACTTTACAAGTTTTTTATGTATGACTACCTGAAGATAATGAAATGCTTATCTTTGTATACATTCTTTTTTTCAATATAATATGGTCGGTTTTTTGTTCAACGGGAAAAGTGGAGAAACATTTTGTAAATATTTAGTTTATATTTAGTCGTTGATTAGAATAGGTGTTATTTTTGAGTGTATTTGATGAAGTGTAGTTCAAAAACATAGCCAGAGGAATTACATTGAATTTCCAAATAAAAGAATTGATTATTTTAAAATATCGATCAGGCATTAAACAAGCAACCATAGCCAAACAGCTGAATTTAAGCCGATCGGTAATTTGCAAAACTATTAAGCTGTTCCGCCTCAAAAAATCTTTGGTAAGCCCTCCTAAGACTGGTAGACCGCGAAAAACTACACCTAGGACTGATACGAAAATTAAAACACTTGCTCTTAAAACTCCATTTACTACTACTGTCGACATGAAAGCTCAACTTGAAGAATTAAATATTGGTGTCCAAACTCTTCGAAGACGTTTAAGGGAGAGTGATTTACCAGCAAGGAGACCATCTAAAAAACCTTTATTTCCAAGAAAAATTGGACTGCCCGTCTTCAATTTGCTTACGATCATTTGAACTGGTCAGAAACAAGGTGGAATTCTGTATTATTTTCTGATGAAAGCAAATTTAATTTATTTTCATCGGATGGCATTTTATGGGTAAGACATCCTAAAAAGAAGCGATTTGATTATGTTCACATTGGGTACAATCAAACACGGAGGCCGGAAGGTTCAAGTATGGGGTTGCTTCTGTGGTCTTCAAATTGGACCCATCGTCAAAATTGAAGGAATTATGGACCGGTACAAATACTTGGAAATATTAACTGATACCATGCTACCTTACGCAGAAGAAAACATGCCTCTACGCTGGCGGTTCCAGCACGACAACGACCTCAAGCACACAGCGAAAATAATAAAAACATTTTTTGCAGATCACAATATTAATGTCATTAAGTGGCCAGCTCCGAGTCAAGACCTAAACCCCATAGAGAACCTATGGGATTTAGTTGATAAAAAAAATTCGGATTGAACATCCAGAAAAGTTCAAAAATAGTGCCGAGCTATGGGAAACAATCGAAGTCGCCTGGAATTCTATTCCAAAAGAAACAATTAATAGATAGCCTAGTTAGTTCTATGAGAAAAATATGTCTAGCAGTTATCAAACATAAAGGTTATGCAACCAAGTATTAGCTTCTTTGAATACGACAATTGCTTTTTATATTATGTTTCTCTATTTTTGCTCGCTGTATTTTCTAATAATAATTGTTAGCATAGTTTTATTAAAGCAGAAGTTTTATTTTCATGTTGGCTTTGAATTACATGTTAGGGGAAGGTGGGGCAAGATGGGGTAGCTAAGGACTGATTTGGAGTTATAGCTCAAATTCGTACTTTTTTTGAATATTTTTTATTTTATAGTATTCATTGGTTGTAAGTGTATAAACAATAGCCGAAAACAAATTAAAAATTTATTTTTTTTAAAACTGGGAAAACTGAAAAAGTAAGATTTTCCCCGTCTTGCCCCATAGGTGGAGTAATATGGGGTTTATAATATAATGTCAAAATGAAAGAATTAAGCAACATTTAACTAAAATAAAATTGGATTTCCTAATAAAACTTAAAGGGACTGAAGCTCATAGTACCAAAAAACTATTTCTTGGGTTTACACAATAAACAGATGTGCGTGGCTTCATCGTCATCATCCTCAACGTCTGCGCAACCGCAATGCGTCCATTTATTACGCTTTATACAGTTTATCCAGCCTTTTTCAGATTCGGAACACATAAATCCACTACAATAGAGACATAAGGTGTCGTCCTCATCGTCGCTTTCGTCTGTTGACTCATGTCTGGGACGCTTTCCTTTTTGTCTTATCTGATTTTGCTGTTTTTTTCTTCAGTTTTTGTTTTTCCTCGATTACTTTCTGTTTTTCTTCTTTCTTCATTTGTCTATCGATGTTCCTTTTGACTTTTAGTTACTCCTTCTGTTGTTTTTCTTGTAATTCCTTCTCAAGCTCTTCCTTATAAGGCGAAGAGGTTATAGCTGCAGACTTCCCTTTTTTCCTAGTTTGGATTCAGTTTTTCTTTATGGTAACCGGTGGCGGCAGTAGCTGCTTAGGACGTAAATGACGTATTTTGTGTTGGCGAACGAATCTGGCTGAGGACTGGAGGACTGAGACTGTGTGCTTGATGATTGCGTCGATGTATTAGGATTGCTCTCATTTAATCTTGGGTTTGTACTTTCCGCTGGATTTTGGAGAATATTAGCTTGGGGTAATTGATCCTGTACTAAATTTATATTAGTGGTCTCAGAAGCGATAAAATCGTCTTCAGTGAAGACAGTAGGATCATATGGCCAGATTTTGAACCCAGAGGTACTTTTAGTTTTTATTTTTTGTAAATTGTCCATATTTTCTCTAGCCAATTTTACTTTTCGTTCCAACGTAGTTTGAGGAACTTCAAAAGGTTTTGCAGCTAATTAATAATCCATTTTATTTTCCACTACTGCTAAAACAGCATTCTTCATCTGCTCTTCCGTCCAACCCCCTCTATCGGTTTTACGAACGTAATTTCGCACCATTCTGAAATGTAAAAAATATTGGATAAATCTTAATCGGTACCACACTATCTTGCCCCACGAGTGATACCCCATCATGCCCCTTCTTGCATTATATAAAAAAAATAAAAGCAACAAAAAAATAATCTAGTTATTTAAAAAAACAAAAGCTCACCTTAATTTACAATGTTAAAAGCTTCGTCAGTACCCAAACTTAGCACTGTATGCAAATATTTTGTAACAGTTTCACGCTTGTAAACAAATGCGAAAATACGTAACGTAACCTCAAAAAACACGTGATTCCGCGCTGTCGTAAAAGCACGACCTACTACAATTACGATACAGAAGCTACTGAAATAAACAACACGTTGGCGTCGTTTCATGTGTAGTTCTCGAATTTAACACCTTGGATTGGCGGAATAATACGCGTACCTCATCTTGCCTCGTTACCCCACCTTGCCCCACCTTCCCCTACATTAAGTTATAATAAAAGATAAGTGTTTAATTTACTTTAATATTTTAATAAAATCTTTAAAATAATAAAATGTTTCTCCACTTTTGCTCGGTACTGTATAAATACACGCTATGTATGCACAGAATATGAACTGCCGGCGTCGGCATGCCGGCGATACTCAGAGCTTGAGTTCTATGTTGTCGAATCCTTAGGCGGCTGCCGCTTTGCTGCGCTGCATCTTTGTTGTGCCGGGGCGTAAATGGACGACGATAGGGTATAGTCCGTCAGGGCGAAGTGATAGCTCGGAAAAAAATTAGTAGGATCAGTATTTTGTACTCCCAACCGCTCCACCCCTCAGCCCCATATACGCCACTGCCTCCTCCAGTATTTTCTAGCACAAACATTTTCTTTTAAGCGGTGAGTGTGCGAAAGTCTGCGCCTGGGTGATTGAAGGAGATGTATTGCAGTTTATCGAGGCGGTTGTATTCGCAAAGCCGGCCGTAGCAAGCGACATGCAATTTCCGGCGATGGTTATACATTAAAGTGCGCTTTTGCGTGGACTGTTTGTCGTGTAGTACACAACACACTCCTCTACCATGGCCAGTTCTGTATAGTCCAGGAAGTATCTCCGCATCTGCTCGGAATAATATTCTGATTCGGTTTTTTGCATAATCTTATTCAAATACTCAAACCTAATAACAGGCAGCAGCGGTGGCCGCAGTAGTAGACTCTTCGGTCTCCTGATCAGTTGCCGTGCGCTGTGCGGGTTCGAGTCCCGTCCGAGGAGAAATTTTTCTCTTGGCTATGGAGGTTGTGATTGTCCGTAGGTGGTAGTTGGTCTCTGACTGTCGAACGCGGAGGTACCACCCGGCGGATCTCGTAGGCGGAGCCAGAATGTGTGCATGTTGCATGCACACGTGTTCCCTCGCCAGAGTCCGTGTGGCGTTCCCCCTTTCCCATGTGTCCCCCTATAGCCCCACGGTACCCAATGGGTGCCTAGGCCTTAGCCCTTCGTGGTAGTTGAAGTATACAAAAAAATCCCTTCTGAAATATCTGCATGTCATTAGGCTCAGACATTCGTAGACCCACTGAGAAACAAGTTAGTTACAAACATGTATTCCAGAGAAATTAAACGGATCAAACAGGTCCACACAATTAGTCCATAGATATCCATTCTCAGTCCATCTGGCAACGTCGCCCTTCCCCGGTACCTGATGGGACAACGCGTCAAACGCGGCAGCACTGCAGTAAAGCCAGAACACGTACCACGACCGATAGGCTCGCCCGTGATGCCAGACAGCAGAAGGAGTGACGCATATCGAAAGATTCCTCTACTATTCTTTCAAGGGAAGATGTAAAAGAAAATCTATGATGTGTGAAATATCTCTAATAGGTGCGTTGAACTACGGACGTTGGAAGCGTATAAACGTACTTATATCAAACATTGAGATAACCCCTTACCCCTAAATGTTTTCTTGAAAAATGGTGAGGATCGTCTAAAATGTTACAAAACGAAGTTTGAGCTATTTTAATTTTTTTGGTTTTGGCCCCTTTCGCTTCGCCGCCACTAGACCGATTTCCAACACCTACAAAGCGTTTTCGTCCTTGGCATAGTAGTAACCTCAGCCACCCTATAGACGGGCCAAGATTAGCGGACAGACAAACCGACCGACAGATAGACAGACAGACCGACGGAAATGAATGACACGGTTTTTCATGATGTATATGTCATATAACATACAAAAAACATAATAACCAATTTTCGATTACAGTATCTACTTCCTCGCCAGTAGGCGTGGGAAGTAAAAACAGATGTTTACAGTAACAATACCCCCAAAATACGAGTACTGGAATTTTCTTAATGGGTTTTTGAAGAATATTTAGAAACTTCGGTAACATTCCGTTTCGTTTTTCGTATTGCTTTTCGAAGTCGAAAATGTTACATTTTACATTTTTTCAGATAATGTATCGCTTATATCTCGAATACTGTCTGCTTTAGATAAAAATTTATAAGAACTTTTTTTTGTCTGGAATGACTCAAAAAATATAAAATCCTTTGTCTGGACAAAATTCTTTGTCTAAATTTGTCTAAAAAATTTGGCCTAGATTTTTAACGCTAAATTTGTCTCAATTTATCTTGGAATTTGTCTAAAAAGTAATGTAAACAATTTTTGGCGAAAGTTTTGGACTGGCAACATGCAGGTTCGTTAAGAGGTGTCCTGTCTGAACAAGATTTTGTAAAATACTTCCCGGACTATCTACAATGGTCTATTGCATGCACTATGCACTATACACAGTTACGAGCCGTTATATCATTGATAAAATGGGACAAGCTGTTTAAAAGCACACTTATACAACACTACACTCATAAAACGCTTATTGGGTCTCTTTAGATTTCATGTGAAAGAATAGGTGTTTTGTCTTAGGTGATATAATACTTAGACGTCTTCCAATCTGACGCCAGTGACTCCAGTATCGCATAAATCGGTATAGGATTTTATAGAATTATTGCCACTGCACTGCGCACTTTATTGAAAAGAACATTGTATTACTTACCTGAAAGAGATACTTTAAAAAAAAATGATATATTTTTTGATATGCACTGTCGATTAAATTGCCATCCAATGACTAATTTGTAGATATACTAAGTGACATATAAATCCGAACACCCAGTTTAAATGGTTTTATTTTAATAAAATTTTGTATAAGTACTTAATGAAGCATAATAAGTAAATGATAAAAATTTCAAAATGATTGCACTGCTTTAAAGCCCTTTGACCTTTGATAATGTGTGGATGCACCCTGATGTGCTACGCATTCTCCAACGCGCCTAGGCATGCTTCTGATCAGGTGGTCAATGTCCTCCTGTGGTATCTCATTCCAGGCAACCACGAACCCCTCTCGAAGTGCTTCTAGAGTCTGAGGAGGACGTTGCAAATTGAGCAATCTCCTACCCATCATATCCCACACGTGCTCAATTGGGGATAAGTCGGGAGATCTTGGTGGCCATGGTAACAATGTGACATCATTATGTTGAAAGAAGTCTATTGTGACTCTTGCAACATGTGGTCGGGCATTAGCTTGTTGGAAAGTTGGATCTGCCAGGGTGTCAAGATAGAGTAAAAGATGGGGTTCTAGAACTTCGTGGATATAACGCTGCGCGTTCATGTTACCTCTGATGAAGATTAAAGGTGACCTGGAACCATAAGCTATAGCACCCCAAACTATAACTCTAACAGTGTGATGAACATGTCTTTCAACAAAAAACTGTGGATTCCTCCTTTCACCAGGTTGCCTTCTAACCCTGGCACGACCATCGTACATGCCTAAACAAAATCGAGAATCGTCACTAAAGACAATACTGTTCCATTCCTGATCCCAGAGTGACCGTTGTCTGCACCACTCAAGGCGATTACGTCGGTGTTCCCGAGTTAAAGGGAGGACCCAGTGTGGCCGGTATGAAAACAAGCCAAAACTTTTCATTCGACAGTAAACACTTCGCATGCCAATAGGTCTTCCGTGTTCTGCAAACTATTCATTTGCAATGGACGTGGTAGTGGAGTAACGGTCCCTTAAGGCCAATAATCTTAGGCGGCGATCTTCACGGTCTGTTGTTCTACGGCGGCGTCCAGTGCTCCTTGATCTTTGCGTACGGCCTTCTCGAAGCCATGCCTGACAACACCTAACTACAGTGTCTACACTTCTTTGCACTCTAACTGCAATTGCCCGAAAAGAAAGTCCAGCTTCCCGAAGTCCCACTATACGGCCCCTACCAAACTCACTAAGTTGACGAAATCGTACAGGTCTCCGTACTCTAGGCATCGTAACCGATCGTAAAGGATGTCAAGAACCAAAATTTATATGTCACTTAGTATATATGAACCCCTGTTTGGCACACATCCTCTGTTTGTGTGCGATATCTATGCAAAACATTGGCAATCATATTTTTAATAAAAGTTTTTATGTATGCCTTTAATTACCGTATTTTAGTAGACTCTTCGGTCTCCTGATCAGTCGCCGTGCGCTGTGCGGGTTCGAGTCCCGTCCCAGGAGAAATTTTTCTGTTGGCTATGGATGTTGTGATTGTCCGTAGGTGGTAGACGGTCTCTGACTGTCGAACGCGGAGGTACCACCCGGCGGATCTCGTAGGCGGAGCCAGAATGTGTGCATGTTGCATGCACACGTGTTCCCTCGCCAGAGTCCGTGTGGCGTTCCCCCTTTCCCATGTATCCCCCTATAGCCCCACGGTACCCAATGGGTGCTTAGGCCTTAGGCCTTCGTGGTAGTTGAAGTATAAAAAAAAATGTACGTTTCTTGGGGGAAAAGAAAGTACACTGGAAAATCATTATTATACTTGAAAACAGGACCGCCTTTTATTCTATGCTGTCCAGTCACAGAACTGTCCAGTGCTACCACATCAAAGAATCCAACGAAAAATAAACGCTAGATTGGTCGTATTGCACTCCATTTCGACTCTTCAGATTGAATTGAAAAATAAATATTGTTAGGTTCAACTAAGATGCATACGAGTATTATTCAGGTTTACTGTTATTAGCCTGGCAGCATTATAAATATATCAACTATCAACAGTAGAGGTAGAACAAATACTAGAGATACGTTCGCAAATATTCACAAGTGTTAATTAGTTTGATTCAACGTCATGAGGAATATGCCAATGTTAACCAATGCATAAGCACATCATTCACACTGGAACTTGCTATCTTAATTTGTTACAAGCATGAAATAAATCTGCGGTTGTTGAATGTCGTGACATCTCGCTTCTAGGTGCGGCTTGGCAGAAGAAAGAAGTGTCTCCATTTTATATTTTACAAATTTTATGTTTCTACAGACCACTCTTTTAGTTGTATAATTTCTTATCTGGATTCTAAAGGCTTTCTTAAAATTTTATAAAGCAAATGCAACAAACAG